TAGGTATTTATTTCCTCTCTCGGGGCCCGAAGTCATTACAGAGGGGAATGAACAAAAAGCACCAAAATAACATACACAGAGAAAATAGGCAGGTGAATATAACAAACGAAGAATGTAAATACATACACAAAACTATTTAGAGGCAGGTAAACTTAATGAAAAAACTGTTAATATGAAAACAAAACAAACTTACAGATGGCATTATTAAATTTGGCGCTTTCGATTACGTCGGCAATAGGTGAGGGAAGGCCATTCCAATCTAGAGATGTTGTGGGTATAGAAGACTGATTAAAAGTTAATGAGTGACAGTGGGGGATGCCTACTTTATTTCGATGATTGACACGTGATGAGAGATAAAATGGTTGTGTTAAGATATGCCGACATAATGAAGGGTTATGGTGGTGGACCTTATGAAATAGACAAAGCCTTGATACTTTTCTGCAAAAGGAGAGGTCAGGCAGGCCTAAAGTTATTTTCATTGCTGTCACGCTTTATGTGCGATGATAGTTATGTAGTATAAAGCGAAAGGAACAGTTTTGTACGACTTCTAGAGATATTGCAAGTGTTTCAGCAGGTCCAGATAGTGGCTTCGTATTCGAGCTTACCGTGAACTAAGAATTTATAAAAGAGCAGTTTTAAGGACAGCAGTGCAGGAGAGAAGTTTCTTTTGAAGAAGCCGAGCATGCGGTTAGCAGTATTAGTTACATATTCAGTATGAGTGTTCCACGTTAGGTTATTAGTTATGTGTACGCCAAGGTGTTTAGCTTCCAATGTAACAATCCAAAGCATAGAATGTTTGATTTCCACTGTTGTAGAGGTGTCGAAAAATCGGGCTCGCAGGTTTATAGAAGTGAACCCCTACATCTAACATTAGAAATTTGCTGGTTGTAAATTTTAGACTGCTTTCCAGGAGGATCCTTTGTCAGCTCCACAAAGTGCCCCCTCTGCTGCGCACCAATCTGTTAGCCAGACACCTAGCCCCAGTGAAGGCTACCACATGGACCACTTGTCAGAAGCTGTGGACAAGCCTTCATTGCAGAACATGGAGCAGGCTGCAGATCCTGAGGATTCACCTCTTTATGATGACGGCCTACCTGCACTAGAAGACCTGGCTGTGGTGCAGCCGCATCCGGCACTTTTCGAGCAAGTTGGTGACGAGGTACGACTGTTTTCTATTCACATTTCTTTTTATGTAAATTTGGTGTTGAGATGCATACATAAATTTTAATACTATGAGAGCTAGTGACGAGGGATCAAAAGAAGAAATTACTTGCAGCTTAAGAAACTCAGGGTGTGGCTTGAGTACTCTAATATCGCTCCGAAGCCAATGAGGTTGCAACAAGAACTGATTACCCCTGCATTTTATAAGCTCTCAATGACACATGATGTGGCCTGTCATTGTTCATTCTGCACCACGAATCACAACAAGTTCCTATTGGCTTTACCATGATTATCAGCTTGGGCCAATAGGGCCACAACTTGTGGGCAACCTCGTAGCACAGAAGCACCGACCAGGTTGACCATACGTCAATCATCCTTGGTCACCTCCCTTGCGATGTGGCCAAGTGCAATCTGCCATTCCAGAGGTGCTTTGTCATGTATCTAAAGCTGGTACAAAGCATATGCAAAGGAGCAAAAGGTTGCAGCACTCAGCAATGAGTGTCAATTATGACTGCTTCCCATTCAACCAGCACATTGTGCCATTCTCAGAGGCAAGCAGCTGCGAGAGAAAGCCAACATATTGACTAATGATGTGTGGCATGCTTCATGCGGACTTTTTTCTGGTGGGATATTAAAATGAATGTGTAAATTGTGTTACTTTTGCAGGTTCACCTTGGTGAGGGAGTGTTTGTCTCAACTCAAATGCTGGCAGACAGGGAGAAAGACTGCAAGAGCAACTCCTTGTTTGTGAAGGAAGTGACGAGGGGGGTGTTTGGCACCCCTAACCTTCGAGATAGGAGCCTCACCGGGGCACCCTGCATGCGATATGTGAAGCAGGGTGCAGTTGGACGCCAAGCACTCACGCCCGTAAAGGTCAGGGCTGTCAAAAGTGAGTTATGTTTTTCCATAGATATATGTGGATTAACATTCTTAGGATACATGAAGGATGCACATGCTCTCACCCTGCCATACTGTACTAGCAGTATGGTGAATTGAGCACTAAAGTGAACTGTGCGAGCATGAGCTTATGGCTTTAGGAACGCAAGAATTTAGTGCCAGAAGCTTATGCTTCCTGCTGACTTTAGGAGGAGAGAAGTAAAGGGACGTGTAGCTTAACGTAAAGCATTGGCATTTGTGAAACTTGGTAGTTAGCTGCTGAAAGGAACAGATTTTTTGTTTAAAGCCAATGTTGAGAAACTGCTGGAGTACTCTAGCCAGAATTATTATGGACAGGTACGTGCCCAGTAATCACAACCTGTGAGATGATATAGTGTGGTGATCTCTGCCACACTGAGGTTTGGTTCCTGCTGTGTTTCGACCTTGTGCTTATAGTGTTTCGACCTTTGTTCCTTCTGACTAGTGTAGTGGTTTGAACAACATGCTTTGAATGATCTTCATGTGTAAACAGCATGCTAATTGGTTTCTCAGCATCTGTCTTAAAAGTTACATGTTTAGGAGAACTACGAAATTCACAAACTAGCTTACCAATTATGACACTCTTCTTCAATTTAAAATGAAGCATTATTCAGCAGTGTCCGTACACTTATGGCTGCAATGGAATTCAAGTTGCTGTGCTTGAAACAATTAAGCACAAATCAGTTTATTTCCTCATTAATGCCAGGATTTGAGAGTTTCTGGCCTACATTTGTCTAGTATAAACAAAAATGTGTGCTTAGTGGACTGCAGGGATGATTTACCTAACTAAAAGTTGCTGTTCATGAATGAAATCATTTTTCAAATTATATGTATACTAAGGTTATGTGGCTTCACTTCTATGAAGTAGAATATATAATAGTGCAGCTTGTTCTTGATACTTCAAATTATTTTTAAACATGAGGCTTCAGAGATTAGAAGGTGGGTTTAACACAGTTTTTATAGAACTTGTGTGGGGTGCAGGTTTTCTGAGTTGACATAGTGCTTATTTGAAAACCAAAAACCCTCTGCATGAGAAACATTGGGCAGAAAGTGAAAGAAGACTATGCACCAAGAAAGTGATGGAGAGGATGATACGAGGGCACAAGAGGATGTCAGAACGCCGGGCTTTGATTCGAATGATTAGTGGGTAGACCTAAAGCTAGCAGCCGCTGTCTCCACTGCACTCATTGAATGCGTTCAAACGTTAAATGCCTGGCATCCGACCTTTGGCTTTCTCATTCGAACGCGTTCAACGAGTGCAGTGGAGGCAAAGGCAGCTAGCTTTGCGTCTGCGTACTAATCATTTCAATCAGAGATTGGCGTTCTGACATCCCCACGCACTCGTATCCTCCACTCCCTCAGTTTTCCTGTGCATACTTTGATGCCTCAATCTTTAGTGCTAGAAAGAACTATTCTTATTCTTATGAATGCTAGATGTATGCAAATACGGCAAATGAGTTTGTTTTTATGGTCTTAATATTTTATGAGATTGAGACAATTTGGGTTTGGGGATTATTTTGCAGGCAAAATATTTTGCAATTGGGAGTCGTATACTATGTTCTTCCATCATGCGGTGATGTATTGACATAATAAATATTTGTGATTGTTTTCCAAATGTGAAAGTTGCATTAGTTACATTATTTTAAAGATTAAGTCATATTAAGTCACGCATAAAAATTAAGTCACATTTAAGTAAATAGACCCTTTTCCAACGTCTGCACCAACACCTGCCTGCCATTGCTTGCTCACATACTGTGAGCATATATATTGAAAATGAGCACAGTGTCAGCATTTGGCGAGGGCTAGGGTCCAGTCACGCACTTTGTGAGCAAGCAATGGTGACCGCCAATGTTGCTTGATGTACTTTTGAAAAGGGTCTATTGACTAAATAAATGCTGTACAAACTATTTTACAAAGACATGCAATGTGACTGTCTGTTTTGTTTTCATTACTTTCAGACGCCTATCGCAGGTTCATCAGACTTCGACCTACTGGCAGAGCAGAGGAAGCTCGGCTCAAGGATATGCGCCACTACATGCGCGAGCTCCTTCAGAGCCTGAGGCAGAAGGCCAAATAAACAAGCCTGTGGCAGGAACGCATGTTCACAATTTCTCGAAGTTGAAGCATATTTCTCTGCATGCAGTTTCTGCTAAGTTGCATAGGCTTTAGGAGAAAAAGCATTTTCCTGCTGAACTTCACTTTTTCCTTCTCTTGTTTCTAAAGCCTGTGTAACTTATACTGATACACCACGATATCTCAACTTTTGTGAGGTGTGTGAACACAACTCACTATCGAATGATAATTTGGAAGGGCTGCTGGAAATTCTATGCAAAACTATTGTATACAAGTTTGACACAAAACAGTTATAAACCGCATGCCGTGACAGGTGATTCATGTGAACCATGTGGTTAATATGACCGATATACATCAACATGCGGCCCTGACATCACGTCACTACGGTGGCGCTGCTATGTTAGGGCGCATGTGCAGACGCTCCATGTCACACGAATCGTTTGTCCACACCTCGTGAGGGCTTGTTTGTAAACAGCGTGTCGGCCTACAGATCATATCAACCTTATAAACTGCATAAACAATATTGTCCAAAACAGCTATATGAACCATACAAACCATATGGACCCTACAAACCGTATGACCCGTATCAACCGTACGACCCGTACCAACCGTACGACCCGTACCAACCGTACGGCCCATACCAACCGTATGACCCGTACCAACCGTACCAACCGTATGACCCGTACCAACCGTATGACCCGTACCAACCGTATGACCCGTACCAACCGTATGACCCGTACCAACCGTATGACCCGTACAAACCGTATGACCCATACCGACCCGTATCCCATAACGCTATATGAAGACCCGTATGGAAAATTCATATGGTTTTTTTCAGTAGGGCATAAAGGAACAAATTGGCAAACTTGAATGCGAGGCATTCATGTCCGATGACGCTCCCGCATACGGTAATGCATGGGAGCACGTGATGGGCCCTGTCAAAAATCGGATGCTCTGTACCTGGCATGTGAACCGCAGCTGGAAAGGAAAATTGCAGAAAGTCACTAATGAGGAAATTCGAAAAACTCTTCAAGACCAGTTGTTCACTCTCAGAAATTGCAGTGATGAGGTTGAATTCCAAGAGGCTTTACCACGCTTTCTCGATCAGAAACTGGGTAAAGAAGGTGAGGATTTTCTTAAGTACTTCAGGAGTCATTATGCTGGAAGAGCGACTCAGTGGGCGCACTGTTTCAGAAAAGGCATTCCATTCACCACTAACAACCATCTGGAGGCAATGCACAGGGACCTCAAGTCAAACTACATGCATGGAACGCACAACCAGAGGCTTGACAAGCTGCTAATGATACTCTTGGAGCTAACTCGTGACCGGCTCTACAAGCGTCTCAAGTCGCTCATAAAAGGAAAAACAAATCGGCATGCCACAGCCCTTTTCCAAAGGCACCAAGATGGGATGAAGATCCCCGCATCAGATGTAGAAAAGCTACAAAATGGCAGTGGATGGCTTGTGAAGTCCCAGTCCCAGGCTGGAACTAACTACAATGTCGAAAGAAAGGGTGATCCCTGTCAGGGCTGCATCCTTCGCTGCAAGGACTGCGACATATGTATCGACAGTTACCAGTGCACTTGCAATGACAGCTTGATTTCAGTTTCAATATGCAAGCACATTCACGCCGTAGCTTACCTGGAGCGTCGTGCGACAACTGTAGAGGAAGTCGAAACTCAGCCAGACATGGTGCCATCAACCTCTTGCAATGCAGCAGGCTCTACATTGGTCGATGAGCCCCAGTCTCTCTTGGATAACATTCGGCACAGTGTTGAGATTAGCATGCAGAAATCTGAACCAGATTCGGAGGACGAAGTACGTCTAGCCTTGAATGCACTGAACGAGTCCCTCTCGAGGAAAAAATTGATAAGCGCTTCGAGTCGGGCCATGGTAGTAGAGTACCTCGCAAAGGCCAAAGAACTAGTTGATTCTGCACCCGATGCATCATGTCTAAAACCCAAAGTGGTTCCTCACAACAAAAAAATGGAAAAGCAACCACGGTACATTTCAACCAAAAAGAGACGCCCTGGTTCTGGTTCCATGCATGTAAAGCGTCCAAACAGGTTGGAGCAACAGTCCATCATGAAGGACCTTGTAGACAACAGAGTTTCCTCACGGGTAGCAGCATCCACTTGGCTTCTTGCGGATGCTGCTGCCTTAGTCCTTAGGGACCATGACTACTGTGCAGAGCAGTAGACATGACAATTGGAATAAAATACAAGGGACAGTTTCTTGCTTTTTAGTCCAATTTTTGTGTGCCAGAAGAACAGCGTTCCTCTTGCACAAAAAGGGCCAGTATATGTGGTAGCTTATTGCAGGGGTGGTCCAGTTTGCCATTTCTGGCAACTTGATACATTCCCGCTTGCCTGCGCTTTGCTGCACCCAAAGGAAAAAATTGGGCCAAAGTAAACGAATCTGCAAACGAAAAGGTTTTTGGAAGAGTTTTTGGTTTTGTCTGTAGGTTAGAAGATTGGTGGAAATTATTGAGGGAAAATTTAATAGAGTAAAATTAACTAGCACAGCTAGGGACAGGCAGGGCGGAGGAAAATTGGGACTCCCTCCCGCACGGCTCCGGCCCAAGGTCTCAACCCTCTCTCTCAGTAGGCCCAATGTTGGGGTGACAACTGGCTAAACCACCCCTGTTATTGGTCTATCTGCTTTGGAGGATGTCAAGGGATGCTCGCGCTGAAGGCAATATGGGCATCGCTTCATATTCTCCAGCAGCCCGCTTCTGCTAAATGTTGGCGCGAATCAGTAACAACTGTTCACAGCCAAAGGCTGGCAGTTTAACATGTTATCACAGTGTCTCTAGTTGTATTCTTAATTTGTTTCAAAGGCTGTTTAGGTTGGAATGTGTACATCTTTCGTGTGTTATTTCATGTTTTGTTCTCGAGGGGAGTGTGTGCTTGTTAGGTCATCAATTTTATCTATGTACTACTGTGCATATTTTTTCAGATGTTGCAAAATTTGGGGTTGGGCTCTTAGTATAAAATGGGCTGATGCTTAATATTTTATGGTAGTGTGCAATAAAATTTATTTATTAGATATTCTTCCTGAAACTGTGGCTTTTCTGTTTTATTTTACATATCACTGTAAAAGAACTTGCAGCTTTCCTTTAGAAAATGTCAAGGGATGCTCGCGCTGAAGGCAAGATGGGCATCGCCTGACATTCTCTAACATCCAGCTTCCACTAAATACTGATAACACATTTTGCTCCATATATAGATGTTACATATAACATGACAGAGACAGGTCCTTGTATTTAGTGTTGCATGTGCATGTGACCTTGCAGTTATTTCTTTGTGCACTCTCTGCTTTGTGTCAGAATTGCAGTTGTGCTGAAATTTAACTTTTTTTCAAGTGCAAATCAAATGTTTTGCAATCTACAGCTTTCCTTGCTAATCACTGTTCTATTGTTTCCTGAGCCGAGATAAAGACACCACTGACCTCTTGGATTGAAGACTGGTTCACGCAAGTGCACCCCATTGCGTTACAGTTGCTTACAACAGCTTACACTGAGATAATACATTTTGTTGCTATGATATTCAAGGCTGTGTAAGGAGTCTTTACAACTTTGCTTTGACTTGGGAGAGTTAAAAGCCAAAGCAGAAATGTAGATACTTTGAGGGGAATCGGTGGCCGAGTGGGCTAACGTGTCTCAGCTCGGAGCGTGGTGCAAAAGCTTGCGCTGCGAACCTCCTGGGTTCGATCCCCGCCGTCACCGCCTGTTTCGTACCGGTACGCGTTCGTGTAATCACTACTCCGTGACGTATGTTAAAAACCCCAGGTTAGCGGTTGTACTGCACGGGCTAAATTTCTCATCTACAGCTGAGCGAACTGTCATCCGTTGAGGGGTACCAACATCAAGGCTCTATAAACATACAAAGCAGGCCAATTTTTTTAGATACTGTTCCTACAATGCATTGTGGGCCTCTCAGTTGCCATACCAACACAATGTATTGCCTCGTTTTAAGCAATTGTAGTGCAGTCGGACGCAACTATCTGAACCAGCCTTAAAATCTGCCACGGCAAGCCATTGTGCCTGCGGCCTGCTCGAGATGACCTGCAGCAGGAGACCAGCCCAGACGTGGGGGCACACACAACTATGAAGACAGCCCTAACAGTGCAGTGATATCTAAAAGAACTAGCCTGGAACTTGGAAGATGTGGATACTAATGTAAGTAACCCTTTCATACTGCACCATTTGTTCCTCACCAAGTGAGATAATAGTCAAGACCATATGTTAGCCACATAACTTGACCTATGGGTGGTGTGCAGCAAACTGGTGGCACCACATTGTGGCTCAAGTATCTAGCAGGAAAGGCTGCGGACAGCGAGAGCATTGTATGTGCATCAAGGAAAACTTTGAAATGTTTCATGTCAAACGTCCCATTGTTAAATGTGCAAATAATCACAAACACTGTCTACTAGGAAAGAAAGTGTTTGGTTTATCATTGCAGTCATGGCTTTTAAGACTAGCAAGAGTGCAGAAAATATTTGTTTCCTATTCCAACAAAGGCTACAATATTCACATTAACTGAAGAACGTGTTGGTAAAATTGACTGAAAACAAAGAATAAAGCAAGCTCAGGACGAAGGACGACAAACATTTCTTGATATCATCATCATCATTTATTATTCCTTGAAGGCCCAGGTGGCATTATTATACAAAGGAGTGAACACTTAAAAAAAAAAAAAACTATTTATCGACAAAAACACACTGCAACCTAGTTATAGGTTAGAAGAAATAAGCTAATGGCTGCAGAAAATTTCTTAGTGTAAGATAAGGAAACGATTACATCAGGCAGTGAGTTCCAGTCGTCAATGGCAAAGTAGACATTTGGTGAGTGACTGTTGACAATGAAATCCGAAGGAGTTTACAAGAATCGTTGAGGGGAAGAAAAATGCGGTGAGGAGGCGATAGCACACTTTGTCTGAGATGACTGTTGTAATAAAAGGTCCGATGAAGAAGTGAAAGACGACACAGCCTGTGGCGGTGAGAAAGAGTGTCAAGGTTAGCTGATTGGCGAAATACTGATATGCTTGCGTAAGGGGAATAGTCGGAATAAATAAAACGGAGGGCTCTGCTTTGAATGGATTCCAGGTTGTTAGTTAGGTATGCCTGCCACTGTGACCATATGGAAGAAGCGAATTTTAGTTTAGTTCTGACCAAGGTAGTATAAGCTAATTGTTTTACTGGGGATGTTGCTTGTCTGAGGTTACGGCAAAGAAATCTGAGAGTGCGGTTAGCATCGGCGATGACAGATGCTATGGGAGTGGTCCACAACAGGTCGGATGAATTCCTAGGTATTTATATGATGAACAAGCAGTTACTGGGATGCTAGAAAGGCGGTAAGAGGAGGATAGAACATGTGAACTGTGGGAAAAAGATAGCGATTTACAAATTTGTTAGTTTAACCCCTTAAAGGGGCGATGCAACAATTTTTGTACTTGACGCAAATACCCCTTAAAACGGATCCCTGACGTTAACGACCTATGAAACACTCATTCGTTTTTCATACCACGCAATAGAAGTCATAAAAAAAATTAAAGAAAAACGAGCAGCGTTCACCCCCTCAACTCGCAGCCAGAACAAGCGGCCACGCGATCTGGAGCCGATTATATGCCACCAATGTTGATCATAGCCACGCGCTGGGGTTGGCAAAGCACAGGACACGCGCTGAGTTCCAGACATTGTTATGGCTCGGCTCACTGTCGTCATTGCAGCGATTGGATACGGGCCACTACCTGAATGCTTCTCGAGCTAGTAATTATTACGAGCCCAAATCGAGTGCCCACGCAATGCTCGGGTCCAATCTATGAACTGCATTCAAATATCGTCACTTGGGTATACTTCAATCCCCACGTTACGTCATCAAATTCTGCAAGGGAGAGATTGAATGAAAATGATCGATTTTGTCCTTGAAATTACACCGCAACAAAGGAGTTTCTTGGCCAGTGGCGTTGTGTGCGAGTATCCTTGAGTCCCACTAGTGCCAGTAAGCTTGTGTAAAGTTAAAAACATTCCAATTGAATGTCGTTGCACCGCTCCTTTAAGTGCCTTGAACGAACTGAGCTCGTCGGCTATTTTTGGGCTAAAAATGCCATGGAAGAGCTCAGCTCGTCCAGTGGTTTTTTCGGTAGCCCTCAATTCCACGGACGAAAAAGGCTCATCCGTGTAGTTTCGCGGCGCTGATCATAGATGGCAGCACTCGTATTAGTTGGCAAATATTTTTTTCGCCTCTGCTTATTTTTTTGTAATAAACTTTTCAAATTATTTGTGTAATACTAGAGAAAGAAAAATTCAAAATAAAAAAAATATGGGTAAAAATATTTGCCATTTATGACACCACTGAATTATAAGTTGGAGATTGTTCTGCAAGATTAGTTGATCATGGCGTGAATGAATCGGTCTATAGACGACACAGTCCTCGGCAAACAAACATACTTCAGAAGTGATGCCATGGTGGAGACCATTAATGTATATTAAAAAAAAAAAAGAGGGGGGGAAGGAAGACGTTACTGTGCTTGTGCTAGATTTTACATTGTTAGTATAAGTGTACTGAATGTGATTAGTGACGAATTCTGGAATTTAGTGAGGAATTGATTTGAAAGATATATTTGTCATCCTTCGTCCCAAGTTTGTTTTATTCTTTCTGTTTTCAGTCGGCTAGAATATCCGTCGTAGTCTTTAAATAATGTCAGCTTAGCCCAGCACCACAGCACACAAAAATTTGGAGGTCCTTTTGGTGTTAACTAGAGATAGCGATTAAAAACAAAACATATCTATGAACTACAAAAGCGATAAAAAATAGCAGTGATCGCTTGTTTCCCGTAAGGCCTAGCCATTCTTTCAGATCATGAAGAGCAGCCCGATAAAATAGAAAGCAAACATACCTCCAATGTCAATTTTACAGCAATAATCTTACAGGGACTTCCCAGCTGAATTCTCTATGTAGTGCCTAGTATGCACCAATATTGCGTGCGTGTCACCAACTCGCATGCACATAATGTGACAATCGCGCGCACACCTTGTGCTGCGCTTCTATTGGTTAGTGTCGCAGAGCAAACAGCTGCATAAAGGAAGAATCACATCATATCACGTGAGTCCTCAGTTTCAGCATGAACGCATGATGAGTTCAGGCATAGTTCAGACACCATCTGAAGAGAAAGAATGCAAGGCTTGCCGTGTCAAGG